GAGTCATGTTTGATCGTGTGTATTTTTTTCTTATTGTTTAATCTTCTTTCTTCTTTGCGTTCCCTGCTAGATCAGGGTTGTCGACTGTTGCAATACAATTTAATTTTACGTATTTTAGAGTAGTTTCAAATTTGGTTGGAACTAATTTTGAATTTTTCCCGAGAGGCGGCCCAAGCCTTCTCTTATCGATTTTTTTGGGCCGCCTAGGGATATTTGGTCGTTTTTAAGGACAAGCGGGCTAGCCCAGATTTCGGGGGTCTCCAGAAATCTTTACCTACACAAAAAGTGGGCATTGCCCTACCTATAGGAGAAGATTGGTTTCATTGGCGTGTATATTTGTTTGGTTATAGAGAAAACTCTCCTTGTCTTTTAATGAAACTGAACAAGAGGCAAAAACTTTTCCTTCGATTTTCTCAAAATAGCATTTTTCGGGTAGCCCACTTGTCTTTAAAAGCGACCATTTAACATACGCAATCCATACAAGAAACCTCCTAGATTTTTAGCCCTTATCCGAGAAGCCTAAGTGTTCCATCTTACCTACCACAAGACCACGGAGTGTGACTGAAAGACAGCAGTAAGATTGAAGGAGCCAGGAGTAGTAGTAGAATGTGTCAGGAGAAAGGAGGGAGGAGTCCAGAGTTGGCTGCGGGGTGGGGGGGGGTTCAGGGGAGGGGGGGGCGGGGGAGAAAATGGAGATCAAAGCAGATGACAGTACCTTGCAAGAGAACAGAGAAGGAGAAGGAAGAAGAAATTTTTAAAGAAGAAAATTGTTCACGCTTTCAGGGTTCGAACCTAGGACCTTTTATATGAGAGACGAACAGCTTTATCGCTCGACCATGAGAGCTCCCTTTTTGTTTAATGAACTTTAAAAAAATGTTGGGGCATACTCTGGCATGTACTATGTACACATAGACGCACATAAACACTCACATTATGCTCACACTCGCACAAACGTGCGCACGCACGCTCACTCACGAAGTCGTTGGGTGGATATATTGCTTCAGGGGACATGGGTAGACTACTACTATTAGACAGAAAAGAGAAAACAATAGATGGATAGACAAGATGGATAGATTATGGTCTTGCGCCAGTAATACGAGTGTATTGTTGTGTGTGCATGGGCGCAGCATGGACATGTGTGTATTGTTGTGTGTGCATGGGCATGTGTGTATTGCGGATGTGTGGTAGTGCACATCATTATTGTGGTTTATTGGTTTTAGCAGGCGCGAATGTCTGTTTCATTGAAATTAAGTTTGTGCGTCTTCTTCTCTAGTGTGTGGGTTGTTGGCGGGTGCTCTGGTGTGGTTTGCTCCTTCTTTTTTCTATCAAACATCTGTCGTCCTTATCTCCCCTCCTTTTTTGTGTATGTTACTCTCTTGTAACACATGATCTATTCTTCGGCACCTTATTGTGTTGCACATGCCATAAAACTCTTACTAAAACCATAGATGACTAAAACTAAGACTAAAACAAAAAAACTTCTGTTGGTGTTGCAGAACCAAGTGTACCTGGATACACCAGATGGTTCGGTCACCGCCAGGAAAGGTCTCAGGTGAGTGGAACATTTTTTGCTTGCACCTCACCTGCACATAACCACGTTGTGATACCTTAATTTTTTATATTAATATATGTATCTTTTTCTAAATTTAGATGTGTAAGTGCATGCGTCTCTATCTGTGTGTGTGTGTGTGT